ATTTGTTACTACATACTCTGTCTAGAAGCCGATATTTACGGAAAAACTTTAGCAGATCGTCCCCCAGCCACTCTCGTTGAAAAACATAAAAGACGTCTATAGACGTCTTTGGCAGCCAATGAGTTAAAAAAGTATCGATACTAAAATGTTGTATCCGGATACGATACTCATTTTTAAAAGTACCGATACTGCGCCCCTTCTCTCTGATTTGTTTATGTATTTATTTACGTTGTTTATGATCATTAACGTGATGTTAGCCTTGAACTGCTAGCTGCGGCTAATGGCTAATAGTAACATGCCACCATTAATCAAGTACATATCCGACTCTTCCCACATCCAGGTCGGCCATTTTGATTAGGTCACCAATAGGAAGATCCCAGGCAAGAAAATCCTAATTGCTTCATGGCAATATAGACATTAATTTAAAAATTGTTAAATGAATCTTGCAAACACTGAATTAAACTCTATCCATAATTTTATGTTAAAATAGTGGATGTTAAATAGGTTTGTACAATAAGTCCAAACAAGTTTAACCAAAAAATATTTATTTCTCACGATTATGAACGGTGGAGGGTTAGGATAAGGGTCAGGGTTAGGGTTAGGGTCATTAATACGGGCCACGATAACATCAGTAACAGGTCAGTTTGAAACCAAAGACACAAACCTGTCAAAATCCAGTTAAACTTTGGGGTCTTTCTTTTTATCCTTGTGGTATCGAAAATGGTATTGAATATTTTCCTGAGTATCGGTATCCAGTTGAAAATTTTAGTATCGTGACAACCCTATCATCCTCACGTCTTTGCACTCATCTATCCACTCCCCCACTTTCCTCTCTCTCTTTCTCTCTCTCTCTCTCTCTCTCTCTCTCTCTCTCTCTCTCTCTCATCTCGCATTCAAAGGCCAAGAACCGGCGTTCGATTGGCCCAATAGTTTATTCACTTCAGTCAGACACAAAAGGCGTCAGGCTGAGTGATCAGCGAGCGGGAGGCCTGATCAATGAGG